ATACCTCGGATTTTCCAATCCAAGGTAAATATGTTGGCGGTGCTATATGGGAGTGAGGCTGAAAGGGTAAAGCCAAGTAAATCACACCAGATCTGTTACAAGCCTGTAGCATAGGGGGGTTGGACTCTACACCTGGGAAATGTTTTATAACACTTTTGAAGTGCGGATTCAACCACTCAACACCATTTTCCCGGATGACACTCGACATATCAATAAAATACGTTGTTTTAGTCTGTTTAAAGGGTAAATCTGGCATTTTTTTTACGCACCGCCCCCGCAGTCCGGCAACGTCAAAATGGGTGATTCCGCTATTGATAGTGTGTTGGGCTCGGGCTCGGGAAATGAAAAAGTGTTATGATCATTCATTAATAATTGGTGTCCCGAAAGAATAGCAGTCCGAAATGAATCTCAATCAGTGTTTTGAGTAAAATAGTGATGATACTGTCGTGTATAGCTTGTAAGCGCAGAATTAAGAGTACTTGCGGAGCAATCTGCTGAGAAAATTAATTCACCCACGTTTGCCCTGGCTTACGTACATCACTCGCAGAAAATGATAAATGGGCGAAATTTCTTATCCGATGCTGGTTTGATTTAGTGATCAGTGTCATGAAAGAATAAGGTCCGAAATGAAGATCGAACAGTATTTCGAATGAAATAGTGATGATGCTGTTGTTTATAGCTTGTAAGCGCAGAATTAAGAGTCCTCGTGGAGAAATCCGCTGAGAAAATTAGTTCCCCCACGTTTGCCCTGGCTTTACGCACATCTCTATCAGAAATTGAAGAAAAGGGCAAAATTTCTTATCAGATGCTAATTGGAATACCTTGAACAGACTACCAATCATTTTAATTGGTGTCCAACCTTACTGGGAGCAATCCCTTTTTTAGACTATCAAGCGTTCTTGATGTCGAACATACCCACCTTCTACGGATGACTTTGTCATTCCGAACCCTGTATACCTTTCTATTTATAAAGAAAGGCTGTGAGTGCGAACTGCCGGCGTAAAAGCGTTGATAATGATAACCTACCACGGCGTAAGGAGTAGTCACCACCCCGCAAAGTACCACTCACAGACACCTCCTTGAACAACTCATTTTCGAAAAATGCGGATTGTTCACATTCCGGTTAAAGATACGGATGCAAATATCCTTGGTCTTGACACCATTCTTCTGTTGTTCATAATATGAACAATTGGGTGTGCGAAAAGCCGGGTAATAAGTTGTTGATAATGATAACCTACCACGGCGTAAGGAGTAGTCAATCACCCCGCAGAGTACCACACCCAGCTTCTGAAAACATCCTGCGGATGTTGTGAGTGCGCAATATGCGCTCTTATACCTTCTCTAACCTTCAAACTTCCGAACTCCGGATAGTTGTGTGCGTGAAAAGCCGGTGTAATAAGTTGTTGATAATGATAACCTACCACGGGGTAAGGAGTAGTCAACCACCCCGCAGAGTATCGCCCACACCCACTTCACATGTCATAAATGTTGCAGGAATGCGCATAACATTCCAAACACCTACCTCATCCTCCAGACTTCCGAACTCCGGAATAGTTGTGTGTGTGAAAAGCCGGTGTAATAAGTTGTTGATAATGATAACCTACCACGAGGTAAGGAGTAGTCAATCACCCCGCAGAGTACCACCCACATCGACTTCACATATTATAAATGTTGCAGGAATGCGTATAACATTCCAAAAACCTACCTCAACCCCCAAACTTACGAACTCCGGATAGTTGTGCGTGTGAACGCCGGTGTAATAAGCTGTTGATAATGATAACCTACCACGGTGTAAGGAGTAGTCAACCACCCCGCAAAGACCGCTCACACCCACTCAACATGATATAAATGTCTCAGGAATGCGCATAGCATTCCAAACACCTACCTCAACCTTCAAACTTCTGAACTTTGGATAGTTGTGCGTGTGAAAAGCTGGTGTAATAAGTTGTTGATAATGATAACCTACCTCAAGGTAAGGAGCAGTCAACCACCCTGCAGAGTACCACCCACACCCCACTTCACATATTATAAATGTCTCAGGAATGCACATAACATTCCAAACACCTACCTCAACCTCCAAACTTCTGAACTCCAGACAGTTGTGTGCGCAAAAAAAGCTGGCGTAAAGTGTTGATAATGATAACCTACCACGGCGTAAGGAGTAGTTAACCACCCAGCAAAGTACCGCTCACACCCACTTCACATAATATAAATGTTATGAGTAAGTGCATAGCATTTCAAACACCTACTTAAACCTCCAGACTTCTGCATCACAGAAAGTTGTGTGCGAGAAGAAGCTGGCGTAAAGTGTTGGTAATGATAACCTACCACAGGTAGGGAGTAGTCAACCACCCAGCAAAGTATCGCCCGCACCCACTTGACATATTATAAATGTTTCAGGATGCGTATATCATCCCAAATACCTACCTCTGCCTCCAGACTTCTGAACTCCAGAAAGTTGTGCGCGCGAAAACGCCGGCGTAAAGTGTTGATGAAGATGACTTACCACACGTAAGGCGTAGTCAACCACCCCGCAAAGTACCGCCCACACCCACTTACCATGTTGTACATGTTACAGGAATGCGCATAACATTCCAAACACC